TCTCTCTCTCTCTCTCTCTCTCTCTCTCTCTCAACACAAATATAAATCAATATTTAGTAGACATGTTATGAATATTCATTTATTGGCAAAACTATAAGAGATTCCGATGAATATAGACATCAAATATCGATAAAATTTATTTATTTTTCGACATAGTTTTCCACTCTATCAATGATTTACTTATTACACTAACTTATATTTATTATATAAGTTATTTCACTTATATTTCTATTGCAAAAGTGATTTTACATTAAGATAAAGTGTGAATATCCAAGAAAATGACCATATTTTTCATATTTAGCAGGTTTTTTTAATATAAAACTATTGCATTAAATATAGAATTATAATTTTTATAAATAAATGAAATGAAATAAAATTTTAATCTTATCAAGATAATATTATTTTTAATTCTATAAGATTAATTATTTTATTTACTTAAAATTATATTTAAAGTCTACGATTAAGTAGTATTTGACTTTAATATTATAATAAATATAATTTATTGTTTTTATTTTAATAATTTTTTAGCACATATTTTTAGACAAATAATAAACTCTTGATTTTATTTGAATAAATCATATCATATTAAAAAAGTATTGCAATTTATTTCAAACACATATTAATGTTGAATACAATTATATTCGGTCGCAAACACTCAATGAAACCTAGTTTTTCATATTTGGTTGGTATTAATATCATATTAATAATATGAATATATTTTTGTAAAGAAAAATAAAATCTCTCTCTCTCTCTCTCTCTCTCAACTAAAGTGTCTCTCAATTAAATGCAAAACATATTTAGCATAAATTTTTATCAAAATTTTAGCTCAAGATTTATATAAATATCTGAATAATAAAAATTCAGTACATGTTTGGCATAACTATATTATTATTTCCACTTATATTATTTATTATAATATTATATTTTCATCTTATATATGATATGATTTAAATAAATCAATGAAATATAAATATCTAAATTAAACTGAATTCAAGAAATACACTTCAATATTATTTCTATTTAAATTATAAATTTAATTAAAAACATACGGTATTCACCAAGGTTGTTAAACAATAAAACTAATTTTCCAATTGTTTTTAACAACAATTTAAATGGATATCAATTGATATATAGAAACAGAACTTTCCTAATGTCATTTGAAAATACTTTTTGTACAAAATTAACTACTTATTAATAAAATTAAAAAATAATAAAACCCATAATATGAAACTTTTTCCAATAAAAAATACTAATACAAGTTTTGGATAACATTAATAACTAGAGTATTATAAAGCAAAACATACTTTACATACTTATAACTTATAATAAGTTATAAGCAAAAAAATAACAAATAAAATATACCCTTAATTTGACAATAATTTTCACCATAATATTTGAATAGAAAACGAATGGCACGGAAACAGTGGGCGCCGACACCAAACGGGTCCTAATGTCGGACACGATTGAGGCCAAGACTACGGTATTGACGGCCAGTTGTGGCACAAAGACTACAATCACCACAACTGATGGCCACAAGAAGAATGAGATGAGACCCGAGAGGATAGACATCGGCAGTCGTGTAGTGTTTCCCCTACTGTTCATTGCGTTCAACATTATCTATTGGCCCTATTATTTGCTTATTATAGCGCCGTAGGCCATCATTTCGCAGGTTTAGAGTGACCAACCATCAGGATTTTGCCAAGTTTTGTGTCGGTCACTCTACCCCCTGGAGGGCATCATTTATACCCAAAACTATTGTATTTTGTATTGTATTGTAAATAAATATATGAAAGTATTGTATTTCTCGGTCACAATCTACAGTATACGTGTATTTGAATATGAGATGTACTTAAATATATTACTTTTACCCGGAATTCATTCCCGGAATATTCTGTTGGCTTATTATTATTACTATTATTAAACATTATGCCTATTATTATGATTGTTATTCTGTTAGTGTTTATAAACCATGAATTTAATGTAATGTTTGCTGTGCAGTGAATTATACCCATAGATATAAATACAATATTCAGATTTATATTTAGATATTATGTGTATAATAATTGGCATACAGAATATACACGTGAAATAAGTGGCAATACTCAAAAAAAATTACATAATAGTAAGTTTACACTAAAAAATATACATGTATACAAAAAACAAACCAATTTGAATGAATTGATATGATATCTGAAATAACGTACTCTTATATAACAAACAAAACAATTATATAAAAAATATATTTTCATTTTTAAATGTCTGTGTATTTCATTACAACTAATATTACAATAATTGTAATATTAATTCCTTATTAACTATAAACGAGATTTCAATACAATTTCGTACGGCTTTGGCGTACAGAAGAGCACCACCTGTTGTGGGTCGGGTGTCAGGTCGGCTGTGCCCTCGCCGGTGGCCAACACTATATCGTAATCGCGAGTCGACTGTAGAAAAGCGACCAAAACCAGGAACAGCTCGTTGATGGCCAACCGATCGCCCAAACACTTGCGGCGGCCGACACCGAACGGCACGTAATACTCCGGTCGGGTCTGAATATACCGGCCTTCGGAGTCGAGGAACCGGTCCGGTCTGAACGCGTGGCCGTCCGGCCAATACTTTGGGTCGTTTAGTATTGAAAACTGGTGGACAACTACCGTAGTGTTGGCCGGTATTGACAATCCGTCTGAAACACATATCATTGAAAGTATACAATGAATTGATAGCCAAAGAGTTGTTCATTATTTTCAATACCGATATCCGTGTCGGCGAGTGTCCGGTGCGGGACTCCCAACGGGTTTGAGTTGCGATACCTCAACGCCTCGGCGATGAAAGCGTTGGCGTAATGACAGTCGTCGAGGTCTTCGGCGGCGGCCATCCGGTGGCCGATCCGATCGGCGATCTCCGCCCGCAGTCGACACTGTATGGCCGGACAGTTGGCCAACAATAGTAGCATCCAATTGAACGCGAATTGGGTGTCGTCGGTGGCCGTCACGAACACATCCCATAAGGCCAACGATATGTTCTGCAACAGAGAAGTTACCACCGATGAGATAATTAAATGGTGATAATGTAGTGATGTATAGGTATAGGCATTACTTGATCCGTGAGATAATTGGCCGCCTCTTCATTGCCGCCATCGATGGTTTCTAGTTTGGCGGCGATGAGAGCGTCGCAAAAGTCTCGCATCTGATCCGAGCGATAGGTGTCGACGTGTGCGGCGAAACGGCTGGCGATGAATGTCTTGTATTTGTCGGTATTTCGCCTAAATTTGTCCACATATTTATATAACGGCAGCCGAAGTATTGGCACAAACTCTATGAGCGCCAACTTATCGCCCAAACGGAAGAATGTGTCCGTAATTGAGTGCAGTTCCCGATAATCAGGATCTTTGGCCGTAAACCTTCATGATAATAGTGGTATAAAAATTACCATATTTTTATTTGGCAGACAATTAATTTGATGTAATCTTATTGTAAACTCACATTTTGCCAAAAGCTATGGACATAACCACACAATAAAACATGGATTCAATGTAGTCTTTAGGATCAAATGGGTGACCATCGGGCGCCTCGGCGGCCACCATATCACCGACAATGGCGTCGACCACGTGTTTAACGGTTCCCGGCATGTGTTGACACGACTGGTACTTCCGTACGGCCAGTTTGAACGCATTCCTCAACGTATGCCAACTCTGGCCGTAATCGCAAAATATGATATCATTCCCGCCATCGCTGCAGATCTGTTCACCTGTTGTTGTGATTGTCATCAAAATTATCAACAATTGATTCGTGTGTTTGTGTTTTAATTGATCCCAAATAATAGTACCGATTAGTGTCGACTGTCGGCCGCAAAACGAGGTCTTATTGAACAACCGTTTGGCGATCTCGATGTCAAATATGAAGACAAACGGATCCGACCCCATGAAGAATGTGTAAACGGATCCATACTTTTCCCGAAGTGCCAGAAGACTCTCCAATGGATGCGTTTTGTGGCCTCTAAATACTGTTTACCGTCGATAATAGACTCAATGTTAATACATGTGTACACAAAACGCAAAGTATTAAGTTTTAAATCGTGATCAAAATACTTAACACAATATATTGCCAAACAGTGGCAGAGGTGTCGGTCCGTTGGGATACCGCTTAAGCCGCGCATAGAATCGGAATATTCTGTATATAATGTACGACAGAATCGATGCGATTATTATAGTGAACACCGTTTGAGGCATTTCTCCGTAGAAATTATTGTTAAACCTCTCATAAAGACTACTGAAAAGTATAATTGTTATGTAAATCTCAGTACGGATTACTTGTGTAATGATATCATCTAATAAAGTATTTGATATAAAAATAAAAACACATTTTTATAGCAAAACCAATTGAAGGACAAAACAATTTTTCAAACAATTTAGTTGAAAAACAAGTGAATTCTTTAATTTGAATTAACATTTTGATATTCAAAGCGATAAATAATTACTAATTTTACATAAAATATAAAGTACTGGAAATCGCTCTAATCTAACGCCTAATACATGATTGTATTTACAAATTACACCAGTTTTCCAGGCCTTGGATACGATCGCCGATTAATACAAATAATGCGAATAATCTTGAATTAAATGTAAACGTAATGAAAATGATGAACAAAAATACTAAAATAGATATAAAACTAAAAATAATTTTCTATCAAACAATACTTTTGTGGTAAAAATACCTATTATTGGATAAAATAATGAGAAATCAAATCAAAAGTTAAGTACATTTCAATGAATTTTCCGCTTTTATTATTGTATTATTGTTTTCCAATTATTTATGATTTCCGAGAAAATTATTTATAAATTTAATAATAATTTTACGGTAAATATATTATAATAGTTATAACTCTAGACTAGAATTCATACAATATTTATACCGCTATTTGTGAACACATTTTTACACATTTATAATAGTGAGTAAATCTCTCACAAAAATATGTATAAAATAATTACTTAAAAATCCAATTAAATATAATTTCGCAAACTATTTACGGAATCAATTGAATCACAATATTATGTAATAATTATATATTTAACGCAACATTTTTCTCGATTAAGTAATCAATAATTGCTTTTAATAATTAGTTATTATTTTTATCTCGATTTTCAATATATATACGGTATAAGATATAAACAACAAAAACACAAATTAAACAAAACTAAAATTTAATACTCGTTTATAAATAATAGGAATTTTCAATAATAAAATCATAACTAAACACCCGTTGATAGCGATTGAGGGAATGGTTATCCATAGGCTATACATAGGGTATTAGGTCCTAAGACTTGACCGTTATATCTCGGGTACGGCCGGTGTCCTTCTCGAGCTGTTTTCCCAGATATTCCCTGCAAAATACGTCAAAAGAAAACAACAAAATTAACAAATAAATCAATTAAACAAAAACACAAACCATTTCTGAACCATCAGTTTCTGTACGCATAGGAGGGCTTCGTAGCGGACATTCGGGTCTTCGTGTGTCAACAGTTGCATAACTAAGTGCTTTCCGCCCAAGTTTTCAGTTACACTATATGTGTATTAAATAAAAAACATGATAGAAATTAGTCATTCATTTTAAATATTAATTACAAAATATAATATAATTATTGATTTAAAATTTTAAAAAAAGTTTAATAAACAAGACATTCAAGGGATGGGCACATCGCAGCTGCACCAGAGGGCTCAGGAGATCCGCCAACAGCGGGTCAACTGGCAGTCGTACCTCCAGTCGCAAATGGTATCTCAAGAGGACTTCCA